TAGCCCCATTAGGAAGAGATTCATCACCATAACAGTTTCATTTAAAACTTACCTTAGCCAACAAACACATTCACTACCAAGTTACTATAAAGCTCAAGCTTTTTTCTAAGAAGTGTCTTAGTCAACGTATCTGCTATATTTTTATTAGTATGAACTTTCTTTAACAACATTTGTTGTTCCTTAATTACTGAACATAACCAATGATATCTAACATCAATGTGCTTCGTTCTAGCATGGTATATGGCATTCTTACTTAAATCTAAAGTATTCTAGCTATCATAAAATACCACATACTTTTTTGATTCAAACTTAATTTAAAAAGAAAACATTTTATCCAAAGCATTTCTTTACCTATTTTGATTGCTGCAATATACTTAGCCTCTGTAGTTGACAAGGCAACACACTTCTATAATTTAGACTGCCAAGAAATAGCTTTTCTTGCAAAAATAAACAAAAATCTTGAAATAGATTTTCTGCTATCAAAATCACTTGCTATATCAACATCAGTAAACTTTTCTAGAACTAATTATGAAATTTCATAACTCAAGCATATTTTTAGGTGCTCCTTAAATATCTGAAAATCTATTTCACTACTTTTCAGTGAACTTTTTTAAATTAGAAAGAAATCTGCTTACTACACCAATTGTATACGTAATGTCAAGTTGTGTACAAATCATAAGATACATTAAAGAATCGATTACAGAAGAATAAGAAATACTAGACATAGCTAGTTGTTCTTCCTTAGTCACCAAATAATATTTCTTACTCAGATGAAAATGGTTGACAAGTGAACTGCTAATTGATTTGGCATGTTGCATGTTAAATATACTAAACACCCATTGAACATATTTTTCCTATGATAATCATAGCTTTTTAGTTCTTTTATCTCGGATAATATTCATACCGAGATTCTACTTTATTAGACCTAAATACTTCATGTCAAATGGCTTAAACAATTGTTCTTTCAACTTATGAACCATACTAGCATCTTGTTCCATAATCAACATATCATCAATATATAATAAGAGAATAATGAAGTTACTATTAAAAATTTTTTTGACATACACATAACTATCTGTTGTCACTCTTTTATAGTTGTGGCTTACCATAAAAGAATTAAATTTTTTGTACCACTATCGTGAGCTTGTTTCAAGCTATACAAGCTTTTTTTTAGTTTGCAAACTAAGTGTTCTTTCTCTTTTACTTTAAAACCCTCAAGTTGATCCATATAAATGTCTTCCTACAAGTCACTATACAAGAATGTAGTCTTGATATCAAGGTGCTTAAGCTCAAGATTCAACCTAGTTGTTAATTTCAGTACTGCTCGAATGGAACTCATCTTCACAACTGGAGAGAATATCTCATCAAAATTAATGTCTGATTCTGAAAAAAATCTTTCACCATCAAACGAGTTTTGTACCTAACTAGTTTGTCATCATCTTTTTTCAACTTAAACACTCATTTATTCTTTAATGCCCTTCTCCCTTTCGAAAGTTTAATAAATCATATGTATAATTTTTTCACAATGACTTCATCTTTTCTTGCTTTACTTTTAACCAATGCTCTTTGTTCAGAGTAGTTTGTACATCTTGAAAGCTCTTTAACTCTCCCTCACTGATAACTAAAATAAAATTTAAACTTGGATACCTAATAGATGGCTTGTGTTCTCTAATAGATCTCTTAGGTTGAGATTTTACATCACTTGATGTTGAAGGTAGCTTCCACTATTCAACACTCTCTGGTGAAGAAGACGATTCACCTTGCTCAACACTTTCAGGTAGAGATGATTGCTCTTTCTTTTTAAATTTGATTGCATCTGACTTATCACTAACTATGGCTGGCTTATTCATATCCACAAGTTCTGTTTCTTACTCATTTTCACCATTTATGACTATTTCCTATGGAATCTCTATCGGTGTTAAAATATCACACTCAATAATAACTTGTGTAGTCTTATCATTTTTTTCAAGGTTTGTTATGATTTTTTTTATGAAAGTCTACATCTCTGCTTCTGACTGTCTTTCTCTTCACTAGATCTCCATACCATATAATCAAATTTTCATCTCCATATCCTACAAACACACACTGCATGGTTTTACAGTTAAGTTTTAACCTCTGTTCTTTCGATACATACATGAATACTTTACACCTAAAAACTTTCAAGTGAGAGTATGAAGTATTTTTTCTATCCACACTCTTTCTAAAATGTCAAAGACCAAAGGAATTGATAGTGATCTATTAAGTAAATAATGAGCTGTGTTGATTGCTTCATCCCATAATGGTTTGGTAATTTTGTCATCCTCAACATACATCTGACTTTTTTTCATAATGGTACAATTCATTCTTTTAGCTAGACCTTTATGCTGCGATGTTTAGGTTTTATCATCTCATGCCTAATCTCATGTTTTGAACAGTATTCTTCAAAGTTTTTAGATGTGTATTCCCTACTATTATCAATTTGAATATACTTCAAAGGCAGTCCTGTCATCCTTTTCACCATGGCATAAAATTTTTGAAAATACTATAATACCTGACTTTTATTTTTCAACATATACACCTAAGTCTTACATAAATCATCATCAATAAAAGTAACAAAATACCTGCTACAACCCAATGACTTAACCTCAGTGAGATCACATACGTCAAAATAAATCAATTTCAATCTATTTTATTTTTTTTAGAACTTTTACGAAAAGAAACTCTATGATGCTTGTTAATAAACAATGATCACATGAATTGAGAGACATACATTTGGTCAAGGAATGAGAAACTGCCTTACCAAAACCTGTAACTCTTTCTCACTCATGTGTGCCAGCATCTTATACTACAAGTTTGCTGAAACATCATCCTCAACAACATTTATCTAGTTGCCGTTTAATTGCATCCATGTCTTATACATTGTTCAACATAATTTTTTTTTGGCAACTATCATAGATCCTTTAAGCATCTTTCACTACCCATTTTTGTATCTACTTTCATATCTTTTCTTGTCAAGAACATTAATAGTAAGCAAGTTCATTCTCATTTCTAAAATGTGTCTGACATCCCTTAAAGTTAACATGTAGCTTGTACTAATTTATATAATAATATCACCAATCCCAACAATATGTGACACACTGTTGTTTTCGATCTTAGTGCAACCAAAGTCTTTTACTTTGTAAATTGTAAACAACTCTCTCTTAGGAATACAATGATAGACTGCTTCTGTATCAACTATTCACTTAATGCCAGTATCACCAACATGATTACAATCACTATATGTACAAATCAAAATAATTGAATCACTATATGAATTCATTATTGTAACATTATCATCATTTGAATTCTTATCTTTCTCATTTTTTCGCTCTTGCTTTAAGATTTTGTAGTATCATTTCATATGACATGCTTGATGATAATTGAAGCATTTTATTTATCTTTGGATTTAGATCTATATTTAGACTTACTATGACCTTTTGAGTTCTTACCTCTATCAATGTTTCTATCTCTATTCTCTGTGACCAGAGCTTGATACCCAGAATCTAAATCTTTTCACTTTGCTTCTTCATTAAAATATTATCTTTTACTATCTCCAATGTCACTTTGTAATCAGAAGGTGAATTAAAAACAATCATAACTATAGTATTTCAGCTATCTGGCAATGAACATAAAGAAACAACATCTTCATGTCATTATTCATGTTAAGCTCCATAGTAGTCAACCGATTAAATATATCTTAAAAGTTACTCAAATACTCTATAATTGATCATCCATCTTTATACTGTAAATTTACAAACTTTTTAACATCTATAACTTTATTCATACCTGATTTTCTCTTATACAATGTTGTCACTTTTTTCAAACAATGTGAGCATTTATTTTATATGCTACATGATGGAACATACTAATATCAATTTATTTTCTGATTGTAGCCAACGTCTTTCTGCCTAACTTCTTCCAACTTTTGTCTTTAATATCTACTGGTTTAACTGAATTATCCAATATCGACTCATACAAATCTTTGTATTATAAATGATCTTCTATCATAGGCTTTCAAATTGAATAATTTGATGCTATCAATTTTATCATGGAACCTATATCACCTTTAATAATCTCAAACAGAATTTATTTTTGTTTTGGGCTGCTTCTGTATCAATATCCCAAAATAACCATTGCTCTTATATCACTTGTTGGGCCTGAAGTAATTAACACAATAACACAGAAGTAATATATCGCAATAAACCTACAGTAATAAACAACAATAAACAAACAATAATGCAGAAAAAAAATAAAACACATTAAGATTTACATGAAAAACCCTCTAGTGTAGAGGAAAAAAATCACAGACCATCAGAAAAATCTTCACTATCAAATAATAGATAAACAAAGTTCTTTTCTAGCTAAAACTAAAGCTAATCAACAACTAGAGAGACAATTGAAAAAATCTCACCAAATAAATAACTCAACAAATACACCTTTGATTTGTTCTTAAAGAGTTTTAAACACGATCTTCATTGTTCAGAATGTAGAACTCTAAATCATAAACCTACTAATAAAATTTCAGCTCAATCGGATCATAAATCAACTTTCATTTAACTGACTCTTTCTTTTCCCTTTTCTTTTTATTTTTCCTAACTTTTCTTTTTCTCTTGGTTTTGATGCCACCACCTTCTTTTTTACTTTTATACAGCTCATTTTTATTGTTTAAGGCTTTATACAAGTAAGGCTCTCTTAGGTAAAAAAAAAAAAAACTTTAGACCTTTTAATTGGTCAAAACCAATGGGACTAGACCCACTCTTCCAAACAAACTTGACCTTCACAAGTTCACAACATACCCATTAATCCATTTTTTCTGTTAAAAAAAATTGAAACAAAGGAAATACATACTCGTGCAATTCAACAGCATTTTATACCAAAAAAGCATAGCATATTAAAATGTTCATTTACAAAACTACACATATGAAGTGAAAGGACTAACTTCTTGGCAGAATCAGCAGCCTTAGCGGACACGGAGTGAGGGCCCTTTTCATCTTCTTCTTCGTACGTCCTTTACCTCACCCATCCTATTGTGTCTTTGTGGAGAGATGAGATAATATTATAAAATGAGGAAAATAAATTGGGCTCACTATCTCACCGTACTTGACTATGGAGGAAGGGTCCTTGAGGGTAATTATGAAGACATTTCATCATTCAAACTGAGATGTTCATATCCAAATTTCAAAATTTAACCACTATGGTACTGTTTTGAGAACAAAAACATTACGTTTTTCCATTAGTTTCATCTATGATCAATCACCCTCTGAACACCAATAGTGAATGATATATGCACTCAAGTAAAAACGTTTAATTGAGGCCATTTAGTTTAAATTTATGCCCAAATGTATGAAACGGAAAGTGAGCATAGTTCCAGACCTCCTCTTCACCGCGCATTTGACATTATCAGAGTTGATTTGGATACATGGAGAACTGTCACTGTGTCGTACATGTTGTTTTATTCACTGAATTTCTAGATGTCCAGTCATAAAACGGATAGACATTCAATTCATCACCTTTTTCAGTCTAAAAAGACGTCCATTTTTGTCCACAGACAGGCTGTAAGCACTTGAAGCAATAATGTCATTCACCTCTTTCTACATGAATGTCAATTAGCTCTGTACATGGCTTATATAGAATTTAGCCTCCTTTTTTGGACAAAAAGGAGTCATTAACAAGAATTTTATTTATCCAATCCCTGAAAAAGGTTACAACAAATCAAACAGCAGATCCAAAAACTGATTTTCACTTCAGCTAGAACCCCATTTCCTACATTGTTCATGCGGATGCAGAAGCCCCCCCATTACAAAGATTAAAGCCATACCAAATCCCATTAGGAATAAAAGTGTTGTAATAAAATGTGACAGACTTGGTATAATAGCCATAGACACTCACACTTTCTGGTTTCCAACCATCATAGCCACTCCTGTAGAGGTACAGATAACAAACTTGGTATGTGCAGGGACCCTTTATTTGAAATGTATCAGTTGAACACCTCTCAAATGTCCTTGAGTATGGATCATCCAGCCTTGGTGCATACACCTAATTATTCAACACAACACCCTTTAACAATTTCATGATTCTCTGAAAAACGGTCTAAGTGAAAACGTTCATGGAAAACATTGAACAAAGGAGGCTAAGAATTAATAGTCAGAACAACAGTCAGGGCAATCTTTAGCAGCCCTCTTTTCCTACTGATTTTGTTTTGAATCATTGAAGGGCAATTAATGTATAGATCTGTGTTCCTTTAACGATTAATGATCATAGACAAACATACCTGATTTCCATAAGCATCACCAAATGCAAGACTAATCTGATCTCGTGTATAGGAAGTTGAAGAACAGCTTGTCCTTATGGAAACGGTGTAAGAGCAGCTCCCCACATTCTATGAATGAAGCATTGTAAAAGACTTATTTTAGACGTTCAAGGTAAAAAAATTCAGAAAAAAAACTGACACCTATTTGTCTTTTCCCTCACATACTTTGATCTGGGAAGATTTCCTGGAATTTCATAAACAGGCAAATTTATGACATCAAATTCCTACCAAGATTTGCTCAAAGAAACTCTAACTAAACAAAACAATCTAATACTCAAAGATGTTTTAAGGCATGGGTGGATGTTAATTACTTGTGAAAAGATATGTGAAAGTGGAAATCAATTGTACCTTGGTAGCATTGACCTTGAAGGATATGAGAGGCTCAGGCAGTGGAAGGATTCTATTGGCATCTGATAAGGTGAAGAAGAGGAAAGTCAGGGGTAGAAAAAAAAACACAGTTCTCATCATCTCCCCAAAGACAAATTTTTGTGAGAAAGAGAATCTAATATCTAAGAAGACAAGAAGTCCGAATGGATATATTTATACTACTATTGATTTGAGCTTTCTAGCAATGAAGGGTAGATAAGTCTTTTTGGTAAAAGAATAATTATCACAACTTGCTATTCTTAACTTTTAGTTGACTTTTTCATCCAATAATCCACCCAAAGTCTCCTTTTTGCCCTCCATTGTCTTCCACCTTTGCCACGTAAATCGCCCAGTTGGAAGGTTATTAATTAGTAAGTTCCAAAATAGACAATGACAAATAATCCCATCTCATTCATGTGCCCAACACAGAGTTTCACAAATTTTCTTCATTTTTGTCTAATAAATCTACCTGCCATACTTGTGTTCACTGCTAGCTGTATGGGTGTGCTTTTCCCAATGGAATCAAGTCATTTTTTTTTCCATCCCATTTTCTTTTTTTTCCCTCTTCAGGGTGCTAAGATTTAAGATTACTTCTTAATATCTCGATCAAAATCCCTTAATACAGCTCCGAAATTCAATTTTTTACTCAAATATCACCCCACTCTTACCAATTAAGTTTAACCCAAGTGGCACGAGTAAGTATTATCGTAACAGTTTTGAGACCGTCAGACGTAAAGTGTTTTAAATTTGAAAAAAACCAAAAAAAAATTACTATCAATTTTTGTTAGGATGTGATTGGTTACCCAAAAGTTTATATTTTTAATAAAATTATAAAAGCGAGTTTAAAGTTTATCAAAAATATAAATTTCAATCTTCGAAAAATTAGGTTGGGTCCGGGAGTCGGATACGTGTGGGAAAGCACCCCCACAACGCCTATAAATTGATACCATTTAATTACGTGCTATTTTCAATATTGGATAAAAATAGTTTCAATTTAAAATTTAATACTAATTCTCTTCATTTAAAAAAGTAAAATTTTGCTAAAGCTCTTTTATTTAGGAATATTGAAAAAATTTTAAAGTTAAGGAATTATTTTAAAATTCTCCAACATCTAGGCAGAATTTTAAAATAACTCTTTTCGCTTAAGATTTAACACGATAATCCTTAAAATGAAATAACATTCTTTATAGAAAATAATTGTTAGTGACTCTCCAACATCTACGTAAAATACAAAAAATTATTTCCTTCGAACTGTTATTTCTATTTTATTTTATAATATCACAAATTTTTTTAAAAAAAGTATTATTCTTTTTTATTATAAAATATTTTATCATCAAACAGTAAATTAAAGAGAGATTAATGCTGATAATTATCGATGATAACACGCTAACGTATGTATTCTAATGAATGTCATGTAAAATGAAATATAATTTAAAAGTTGGGTTCTTAAGTATAATGAGAACACCTGGACTCTTCATCATCTAGGTAGAGCTTAGGTGCGACTGTTTATATTTAAAATCTCAATTTACTATTATACTTTTTATTTATTAATCTTATCATTAATGTGAATTAAGAACTTGTGTGAAAAACTTAATGAAATGGAGTTTCCTAAATACCCCATCATTTAGGCAGCATTCGAGAACAAACTATTTCATGTGAGATTTTCACACGTATCCTTAAGGTTTTGAAATAGATTTAGGGTAAATGTTTAGGGTTTAAGTTTGGGGTTTAATTAAAATGCGAACATTTGTAAAAATCTCCAACATTTAGGTGAACTTTCAAAGTAAGTTCAATTTCTATAATTTTTTAGAAACTAATTTAAGAAACATAATTTTTTTATAAAAAGGTTTTTTTTTTTAAAAAAATTCCTTTTTTTTATGAAAATTTAATATCAAAAATATTATTAACTTATTTAGTATTTTTTATAATAATAATTTTCTAACATCTAGGCAGGGAAAATAAAAAAAAATATTCTATTATTATTATTATTTAAGCATTTTTAATATTTTTTAGTTATTATCCTATATTGTTCTCATTTTATTATTATTAAAAATAATTAGATATTTATCCTAATAAATTTAAACATTTTATCATGCATAAATATAAAAACTTAAAATAACAAAAATAATAATATATATTAAAAAATTAAAAAAAAATTTTTTTACTTGACTCAGATCGGTCAACGTTAGTCTGGACTAGTCTGACCGGTTCGGCAGTTCGATCAGCGGTTTGGGTGATCCAGCGGTTCGGACCGGTTCGATCGGTTCACTAGCAGTTCGTCTGAATCGACTTAAGGTTGGCTGAGGTGGGTCGGTTTGTAAGGATCTCGGATCAAGTTCGATCCACGCACGGATCCTCTTATGTTTGAAACGGCGTCATTCTGGTCCTATGCTCAAAACGACATGTTTTTGCTTCTATATTTTCTATAAAAGTCAGCCTTTTTTTTTTTCGGTTCATTCTTTTTTATTTCATGAAAAAAAATGAGAGAGCTCTGGGGAAGAGTTCTGGGGTTCTTGTTGTTTGACTGTCGGAGCGTCACGCCTGCCGTCGCTTGGTTCACCGTTGGTGGTGGTCACTAGTGGTTGTCGGTGGTCGTCGGTGGTCGAAAACTTCAAAACTGACTAGGAGGTTTTGTTTAACCTCCTGAGCTCAGATCTGATGCCCATTTCACCGAAAGTAACCTCGATTCACGTAAATCTGGTTTTTAAATTTTTTGTATTTTTTTTCTTTTTTTTTTTTGAAAACTAATTGATACCCTTCTTTTTTGGTCAGGTGACTCAGCGCTGGTTCATCCCTGCATAGAGGATTGTGTTTTATTTTTTTTATTTTTTTTTATATTTTCATAGATCTGTTTATTTTTTTGTTTGGGTATTTGGGGGGGTTGTTTGCATTTTTTTTTATTTGAGAGATTTTTGATAGGGGTGGAATGAACGTATTTTTGGTGTTCTCGAGTGAAAAAATGTCCGAGAGTTTCGGAGAGACTTAAAAGGAGGGAGATCGAGTATTTTACATGGTTGGAAAAGGTGGCAGCATGTGTTGATGAAGCCATAAGGTCTTAGTGAAGGGACTGGACGAGGGAGGTGGTATGATGGCTAGGTCGGCTTGGTAGGGTATGGGTAGCCAACGGTGTCGTGTATGACACCTGCTGGCACCAACCCTTTCCTTTTTGTTTCTTCTTCTATTTGGACTTTTTTATTTGTCTCTCTTTCTCTTTTTTTTTTATATTTATTTTTAATTTAAATAGTTTTTTTAATTAATTTTTTTTAATTATGATTAAACCAATATTATTATTATTAAAAAAATTATTATTAAAAAATGTAGACCCGAACAAAATCTAATGTCTACAGCTATCTCTCTTTGCATATTACTGAAAATCAGTAATAGAACAAAGATAAAGACAACGATTTTTTTTAAGCTAACTAAACAAAAGCGATTGGGATTAAATCATAAGTCAGGAACATATGAATGATCGGGATTAAATCATGAGTCAAAAATTAACGACAACTGGACTGAATCGCAAGTCAGAGAAATAAAAACGACTGGGATTAAACCGTAAGTTAGAAAGTAAAAGCGATCGAGATTAAATCGTAAGTCAATAAGTAAAGAATCGATAGAAACAACACCGTGAGTCGAGAAGTAAAGATCGATCGGGACAATACCACAAGTCAAGAAATAAAAAATCAATCGGGACAACATCGTGAATCGAAATTATGTCAAGAAGTCTTAGAAATCATGCTCGGAGGTCTTACAAAAATCATGCCCAAAGGTTTTACAAAATCGACTGGGATAACATAGCAAGTCGAAATTAAAGAATCGATCGAGATAATATCATGAATCAAAATTATGCCCAAAGGTCTTAGAAATCATGCCCGAAGGTCTTAAAAATCATGTCCGAAGGTCTTACAAAAATCATGCCCAAAGGTCTTACAGAATCGACTGGGATAACACCGCAAGTCAAAATTAAAAAATCGATTGGGATAACATCGCGAATAAAAATTATGCCCGGAGGTCTTACAAAATTGATCGAAACAACACCGTAAGTCAAAATTAAAGAATCGATCGGGATAATACCATGAATCAAGGAATAACAAAATTGGGATTAAACTTGGATTAAATCACCAATCAAAAATGAGAAGAGCGGGATTAAATCACGAGTAAGAGAAATACTAAGGATCAGGATTAAATCACGAATCAGAGAATAAAAAAATTGAGATTAAATCATGAATCAGAGAATAAAGAGATCGAAATTAAGTCGCGAATCAAAAAATGATGTTAACTTGGATTGAATCACAAGTCAAAAAATAAGAAGATCGAAAATAAACAATGAGTCAGAGGTTAACAACAACAATCAAGATTAAATTGTGATTTTAAATTAAAGCAATCGGGATTGAACCGTAAATCAGAGAATAAAGAGACCAGGATTAAACCACGAATAAAAAAAATGACGATAACTTGGATTGAATCACAAGTCAAAAAATAAAAAGATCGAGAATAAACCATGAGTCAAAGGTTAACTACAATCGAGATTAAATTGTGATTTTAAATTAAAAAGATCGGGATTGAACCATGAATTGGAGAATAAAGAAATCGAGATTAAACTGCGAGTCAGAAAATGACATTAACTTGGATTGAATCACAAGTCAGAAAATAAAAAGATCGAGAATAAACCACGAGTCAGAGGTTAACAACAATTGAGATTAAACTACAATTTTAAATTAAAGAGATCGGGATTGAACCGTGAATTAGAGAATAAAGAGATCAGAATTAAACCACGAGTCAGAAAATGACGTTAACTTGGATTGAATCACAAGTCAGAAAATAAAAAGATCGAGAATAAACCATGAGTTAGAGGTTAACAACAATCGAGATTAAACTACAATTTTAAATTAAAGAGATCGAGATTGAACCGTGAATCGAATGATAAAAAGATCAGAATTAAATCGCGAGTCAAAAACTGAAATGATCGAGATTAAACTACGAGCTAAATATTGATGACGACTGGGATTGAACCGCAAGTTAGAGAGATAAAAAAGACTGGGATTAAACCGCAAGTCAAAAAATAAAGAAATGACTGAGATTAAACCATGAGCCAAATATTAAAAAAGACTGGGATTGAACCGCAAGCCAAGGGACTATATAAGATTGAGTTATGAATT